AAGAACGAAAACAAATACAAAGATCAATAATTGTAAACATCATCTCTACACACACACCCCACAAAAAATGAACAGTCGAACCGATAAATACTCAGTCACTTTAAAAGCCACATAGGTCCAAAACACACTGCAGAAATAACCCAATTTGAGACTGCTTTAACTGCCCTGTCTCAATGTTAGGGAATTCTGAAATTGTAGTTTTGTGAGACATTTAACCTTCTTGGTTAGAGAGCTCTGGTGCCACAATAAACTACAATTCCAAGCGGTCTCAAATTGGATTATTTCTGCAGTGCGTTTTGGACCATAATCAAAAGGGTCATTAGTCAGCAAATGTTCATTACGTGCAAACTTCACAACTGAAACTAACTAAGGGTTGGGGGTATTATTACTGGAGATAAATTCCTTTTTTATCTAGCATTCTTCATGCTAAGGTGACAAGGAAGAAAGATATTTAGGAAAGCTAGATGGACCACATTTAATCCCTGAGTAACGGGTACACAACTGTTCTACTAGAAATATTAACTGGAAAAGGAGTTAATAAAACTGGAATTTCTACTAGTCAAGGTCGTTACGGTTCAAACCCAACCAAGGATGATTTTGCTTTCTGACAGTAAAGTATTCTGTGTTGGCTGGAAATATCTTCCCCTCCCTAGAGGGAGATAAATTGCAAGATATACAAGGTTTCTCTAAATTAAAAACATACCACAGTTTGCCACAAATGTCTTCAACTTGTCCAACAACAACAACAACAACAACAACAAAAATCAGACTCCACTTTCTTTCCTGCAACTATCTTAATTAAATTCTGCATCAAAGACATTTGGTAAGCTAGAAGGCAACAGAATTTATTGTGTATGTGTGTGTGTGTCTGGGAGACAGAAGAGAGGATAAATATCTTCATTTCACAGCGGGAACCTAGAGCATATCAATGTGAATCAAACAGAGTTATGACATCTAATCAAGCCAAGGTTTCTATAGCAATGGCATCGTGATTTCTTGGCGCCTGCCGCTCATACACAGCGGTTTACAAGCTTTTTATCCTCAAAACAAAAGGGTACCTTGTGTGGTAGGTCATTATTTTTCTCAAACCCCCCACCCCAAACATCCGCACACACCTGATGACAGGGAACTGAGCTGATAGATGGATAACATTCACAAATGCACTCACAATCCCCCAGCAAGGTGTTAGGATTTCAACCTAGGCTTTCTATTCATGCTTTTAGCTTCCTAAGTTCCCCTCTTGGCTGCACAGAACTGATGATGCTCTACAATATGCAATTACTCACAACCAAAATGGCGAAGGGTCTGGAAACCATGCCCTATGAAGAGCGACTTAGGGAGCTGGGTATGCTTAGTCTGGAGAAGAGAAGCTTAAGAGGAGACATGATAGCCCTGTTTAAATATTTGAAGGGGTGTCATGTTGAGGATGGAGCAAGCTTGATTTCTGCTGCTCCAGAGAATAGGGCATGGAGCAATGGATCCAAACTACAGGAAAAGAGATTCCACCCAAACACTGGGAAGAAATTCCTGACAGTAAGTGCTTTTCAACAGTGGAATGCTTTCCCTTGGAGTGTGGTGGTCTCCTTCTTTGGAGGTTTTTAAACAGAGGCTGGATGTCCCTCTGCCGTGGATGCTTTGATTGTGAGTTCCTGCATGGCAGGGGGGGGTCTCTTGAAGTCTCTTCCAACTCTATGTCATTACTATTGCCATTACATTATGCAATACACAAGAATTATGATTTATGAGCAACACCGGGGACTTCATGGCCTTCGAGGTCTCTTTGAGATTCTATGATCCTATGATTCTATAATTCATTGCTGTTGTGTGCCTTCAAGTTGTTTCCAACTTATGGCTACCCTAGGCAACCCTATCATAGAGTTTTCTTGACAAGAGCTGTTTAGAGGAGGGTTGCCATTGGCTTCCCCCGAGGCTGAGAGCATATGACTCTCCCAAGGTTACCCAGTGGGTTTCATGGCCAAGTGGAGAATCAAATCCTGGTCTCCAGAGTCTAAGTCATACCATTATATGCCACACTGCCACCACTAAAAATAATCCACACAATATAAAAATAGTCCATGCAATAATAATCATCTTCGTCGTCACTTACTTAAAACGCCAAAGTATTCCATATATATTTTAATAATACCTGCTTACAGTATAAATGATGGAGACTGTTGTTGTTGTGTGCCTTCACGTCATTTCTGATTTATGATGACCCTAAGGCAAACCTATCATAGAGTTTTCTTGGCAATATTTGTTCAGATGAGGATTTGCCCTTGTTTTCCTCTGAAGTGGAGAGAGTGTGACATAACCAAAGTCGCCCAGTGGGTTTCCATGACTGAGCAGAGATCTGAACCTTGGTCTCTTGGTGTCCTAGTCCAACACTCAAACAACATGACATGTTGGGGATCACTGAACGTTCATTGAAATGAAGATTTAATGGATTTGATGTGTAATGGATACCAAAATCTGTGGACGCTCAAGTCCCATTAAACAAAATGGCATAGGAAAATGGTGTCCCTTATATAAAATGGCAAGATCAAGGTTGGCTTATTGGAATATTTCTATATCTATATCTATATCTATATCTAGAGAGAGAGAATATTCTCAAGCCGTTGATGGTTGAATCAGTGGATTAAAAAATCTGTGGCTACCGAGGACTGACTGTACTTTTTCAAAAAATAGTGCAGGAAATTTTTGGAAGAGAAAAAAGAAAATTCCATCCCACATATCAGGGCATAGGAAGAATTTCCAAAAAAATCCCTGCACTTTAAGCCTTGGGGACCCTCCCGCATCCTTATCGATGTCAGTTAAATTAGTCAGCAAGGACACTGGATAACAAGGGATGACCGAAACCGGAGGACTTGCTGCATTCCTCCACAGCGTTTGCATTCAGGCGTCCATGACTTCTTGCTTGCTCAGCATTGCAAATTTCAATCAGTCGCTGAACCAATGGACTATGCCCTCATTACCAGCACTTAAACCTTTGGCATGTAATACTACAGTGCATTATGTTGCAATACTTTTAGGGCGTATGCATGCATAAGAGTGTAACTGGGGCAGACAAGGAGGAGATGATTGCGAGATCTGTAATTATTGACATCAGATAAAACCTGCTGTTGTTGCCTTCTGGCTGAACCGGTTTAACAGAATGAGAAGGGAAGTCTCTATAAAAACCAAGATGACAGATTTGCAGTTAATGCTGCCCAACCTCAATAATCCAGAGCTCAGAAAAGTTGCTTCTCTGGACTACAGCTCCCAGAATCCCCCAACCTATACAGATAATGGAGTATGCTAGGAGTTTGATACTTAGGAGCATGGAAGAGTAATCTCTTCCGGCAGACCTATCTAGATGATTTTTTTTAAATTGAAAAATTTAAATGATGAATTTTAAATGTAGATTGTTTTAATATGTATGTGTCTTGCTTGTTCTTTTAATTGACGTATATTTTAATTGATGTTGTGTTCTTAACTGATGTATATTTGTTGGTCTGTTGTTGTTCCTTGCCTTGATCCATGGTGAGGAGAGGAGGGTAGAAATAAATAAATAAATAAATAAATAAAATAATGATAATGATGATAAGAATAATTGTTGTTTTTGCCCCACAAAAAATAATTTCTCTATGCTCCACAACAGTTTCACAGAGTGCATCCACACTGTAGAAATAATGCAGTTGGACACTACTTTAAGTGCTGTACTTCCACCCTATGGAATCCTAGGCTTTGTAGTTTTAGGTCATTAGCCTTTTCTGACCGAGAACATTGATGCTTCACAAAATTACAAATCCCAGGATTCTGTGGTATGGTGCCATGGCAGTTAAAGTGGTAACAAACTGCATTATTTCTAAGTGTAGACACACCCATTGTTATGAATCTCCCTCCCACAATAAAGGCAACTACTTGCACAAGTGGGACAACCAGACACCGCTTCAAAGGAACTCAGCACATAATATATTTCAATGGAGGGAACTGGGGTACGAGTCAATAAATAATGGGTTATCAAGCAGTAAAAACCTACACAATCACAATATAAAGACCACTGAGTGTAGCACATCTTGCTTTCCCACAGCAGAGAGAAGCCCTCAAGAAGAAATGAAGTTTGGGAAGCCCACAAATTGGACATTAAGGCAAGAGCCTTCACCTAACCTTGCTCAGTGGTAAACTTGATTAACCAATTTGTACAATTAAAGTTTGTTGAAGACTTTAATACACATATCACACTAACAATGGCATAGTACAATCAGCCTTTCGTATCCATGGCTTTTTTTATCCACCGATTAAAGCATCCGTTATTCGAAAGCATTCCAAAAAGATATAAATTTCCAAAAGGAAACCATGATTTTCCATTTTATATCAGGGACCCCATTTCACTACGCCACTGTATTTAATGGGACTTGAACATCCATGGATTTTGGCATCAATGGGGTTCCTGGAACCAAACTCCAGAGGATACCAAGGGTCCACTGTAAAATGGTGTCCCTTATATAAAATGGCAAAATTAAGGTTTAGTTTTTGGATTTTTTAAAAATATTTTTAAGCTAAGGATGATTGAATCCATGGATGTAGAATCTGTGGATACTGAGGACCAACTGTAAAGCATTTGGGAGTCCGGAGGAATGGGTCAGGCCCCATTAGACAACAGAGGACATTTTGGCTTTGCAAAGTCAAATTCCAGACTTTTCCAGTCGCTACAGGAAAGAAGATGAGAGAAAGAAATTTAAATTTTCTCCATTAGATCACTCACTAGGGTGCAAAGGAGGAAAGGAGACATCCAATGAGACTGCAGGATGGATGGTAAGATTAACAAGTAAACAATAAAGGCTACTGGTTGTCAGATTTATGCATGTACACCCTCCTTTTTGTACCGATCTGAATTTGGGCACAAGAATATGTGACTATCACTACAATTTGAGTCTAGTTTATTTCGAGTAGGTATGGCACCATCAGAGTGGATCCATGGAAGGATACTGTAAGGTGGGTATGAATTTTATTTTATTTTTTGCTAGTCTAGTGGTTTAAGGACTGGAATACAGCTCTGGAGACCAGGGTTCGATTCCCTGCTTGGCCATGAAACCCACTGGGTGACCTTGGGCAAGTCACATGCTCTCAGCCTCAGGGGAAAGCAATGGTAACCCTTTTCTGAACAAGAAAACCCAATGATAGGGTCGCCTTCGGGTTGCCATAAGTTGGAAATGACTCGAAGGCATGCAATAACAACAAGCCAACCTCTAGCTTCTGCTTTTAATTGTCATGGGAACATCCTGGAATCCTGGGATTTGTAGTTTGGTGAGGCACCGCTCTGGCTGACAGTTCTGAACAAGACTCTCTAAATGGTAAAACCCAGAATCCCACAGGATAGAACCATAGCAGTTAAAATGGAATCATAGTGCTATAAATGTGTTGTGAGAAAGTGCCCTAGAAACAGACAATAGTGACAAGAACATGAACACCAAATTCTATCCTGATGTTTCAATATTCAGAAATCTCACGGCACACACACAATTTTTTTCCCCTCCCCACCCTGGACTACAGGCATTTTAGGTTCAACCATTGTTTGAACTTAAAACACACAACTCTGTCCCAAGCACAGTATACCAGATTTCATTTCAATATTTAAATACAGGTTGAGTCTTCCTTATCCGGAATTCCAAAATCTGAAATACTCCAACATTTTTCACAAGTGGCTGAGAGAGTGACACTTTTGCTTTCTGATGGTTCAATGTACACAAACTTTGTTCCATGCACAAAATTATTTTAAAATGCTGTATAAAATTACCTTCAGGCTATGTGTATAAGGTGTACATGAAATGTAAATGAATTGTGTGTGTTTAGACTTGGGTCCCATCTCGAGGATGTCTCATTCTGTACATATATGCAAATACAGATATTCCAAAATTGAAAATCCAAAACACTTCTGGTCCCAAGCCATTTCGGATAAGGGAGACTCAACCTGTATTCCAATGCACATACAGCATTACTAAGTATACTAAATAAACAATCTAAATTCTTTCATTTTGCTCAGCCCTCAAATGCCAGGTATGCTTACCTAGATGACATCCGTCCTGGAAAAATCCAAGAGATATAGAGTGAAGAATGATCTTTTGTGTCTCTTCCCCTTTGTTCTCAGGAACTGCCCCACGTGCAAACATGCACTGGCCACCTCACTAGAGCTGTTGCCAAGATCAGAGGTCAGATTTAAATCCCTCAATGCAACCACAGACAGCCTATATTTGATTACAATGCTACATACACCACCGTGTATCCAAGACAACTGAAGCATTATGTTCTCCTTAGGGATAAAGCCCTGCCTCTTGGTCATAGGTTTCCGCAAGCTGGCACATCGCTTAGCAGCCTCTCCTCTTGGAGAGATAAAAAAGCACATACAGCTCTATGGCTCACAGTGCAGAGCACAAAGAGAGGCCAGGGAATGTCTCTACTCTTTAGTCATGAACCAAAAGGCAAAGAGTTTAAGAACACCCTCCGCTAATGGTTCCTCACTTATGTTTTGCACTCACCTTTACCTTTTGTATTCCAGGTATGTCTGGGGGCTCATCGAATTCTGGATAATCTACAGGTTGAGTCTCCCTTATCCAAAATTCTGAAATCCAAAATACTCCAAAATCCAGAATTGTCCATATGGGTGGTTGAGATAGTGACACTTTTGCTTTCTGGTGGTTTGATGTACACAAACTTTGTTTCATGCACAAAATTATTTAAAAGATTGTGTATAAAAATTAGCTTCAGGCTATGTATATAAGATGTGTACGAAGCATAAATGGATTTCATGTTCAGACTTGGGTCCCAATCAGCCTTTTGTAGGCTAGCCTTGATCCTTTGGGAGAGATGGGCTATTATTATTTATATGCAAATATTCCAAAATCTGAAAAAAATTCCAAAATCGAAAACACTTCCGGTTCAAGCATTTCAGATAAGAGAGACCCAGCCTTATCAGTCTTGGCCTTTTCCCAATCAGTTTGGAAAATATGCAGGGGTAGCTGTGTTGGCCATTTAGCAAATTCACACAAAAATCCACCAAACAGTGATACCTTTACTGGCCAACCGAAATGCACAATATACTTGTCGCAAGCTTTCAAAGCTCCACTGGCTTCTTCATCAGGCAAGATGTTACAAACCAAACAGGAGAAAATTGGATATGTTAGTAAGATGGCTGCATTGTGTTGTTTCTGTCCTTATGGTATGAAGGTAAATTT